TATGCCCCCACAATGTGGGAGCATATAGCGTTGCACTTGTCCGTCCGTCCGTCAGTGAGTCCGTCCGTCCGTACGTCCCGAAATCTTGTGAACGCAACTCCTCTTAAACCGGATGGCAGATTTTGCTTAAACTTACAGGGATGAACAACCTTAATGTGTAGATGGTAGTAAAGGAAGGAATTTTCGCTGCGACCAAATTTAACAGAATTATGGCCCTTTGTTGATCTTTTCACTAGATACTATGTAAAATTTTGTGAACACAACTCCTCTTAAACCTGATGGCAGATTTTGCTTAAACTTACAGGGATGAACAACCTTAATGTGTAGATGGTAGTAAAGGAAGGAATTTTTGCTGCGACCAAATTTAACAGAATTATGGCCCTTTGTTGATTTTTTCACTATATACTATGTAGAAATTTTGTGAACGCAACTCCTCTTAAACCGGATGCCAGATTTTGCTTAAACTTACAGGGATGAACAACCTTCAGGTGTAGATGGTAGTAAAGGAAGGAATTTTCGCTGCGACCAAATTTTACAGAATTATGGCCCTTTGTTGATTTTTTCACTATAAACTATGTAGAAATTTTGTGAATGCAACTCCTCTTAAACCGGATGGTAGATTTTGCTTAAACTTCCAGGGATGAACAACCTTAATGTGTAGATGGTAGTAAAGAAAGGAATTGTTGCTGCAACCAAATTTAACAGAATAATGGCCCTTTTTTTATTTTTTCATTATATACTATGTAGAAATTTTGTGAACGCAACTCCTCTTAAACCGGATGGCAGATTTTGCTTAAACTTCCAGGGATTAACAACCTTAATGTGTAGATGGTAGTAAAGGAAAGAATTTTTGCTGCGACCAAATTTAACAGAATTATGGCCCTTTGTTGATTTTTAGTTTTCAACTTGTGGCACATGTAGTCCAAAAAATATTTGACCTAGAGTCATAAGATTGACAGAACAGTGGCGTGTGGGGGCATCCGTGTCCTATGGACACATTTCTAGTTTTTGTTAAATCTGAAAATACTGATCTTGTCAATTGCAGCAGATTTCTCTCGCTCTGTCCTTGAATGTAATTGCTTACGTAATTTGGCGTGTTTTTTGTTTGTTTGGTTGTTTGGTTGTTTTACATTTTTACGCATTTCGACCTTCAATGCATTGATGAAATATGATCAAAGCCTAATTATAATTCTGTGAGAATGGCTTGACCCCATTTAACAGACATTCTTTCATAATACACCAATAAACACTTTGCCCAACTAGCAGACGACAGGCTATTCTCGAGTAAAGATAACCGGTTGCAGTATCTCACTGTATAGATCGTAGGTAAAATAGTCTGGCATGTGGTAGGTTTAACAGTTAATTAAAATACTTACCGCGACATTTCTTTGACAAGTCGTATTATTAGCAGCGTATTACAAGACAACACAGAATTTTTTTGGGGGCAGATTTTTTTTTTTTTTTTTTTTCATTTTCCCAAAATACAGAGTCGGCGGGTCTGTAAACCGAAATATCAAAAAATAATGGCCTAAAGGCACCTGACGTCTTTCTCCACCAGTAAAGTTGGAAAGTCACCATATTACCTATACTGTGCTGGTGCGACTTTAAGTGCAACAACAACAAAACAAGAGGGCCATGATGGCCCTGAGGTCGCTCACCTGTATATAGCCCCCCCCCCCCCCCCCCGGGCAAATGTTTACCCAAGGGCTTTTATTTGTTTATTTGAACAAACTTGGTAGATACCCATAAGAAGATGTTTCATGCTAAACATCTAAGTTCTAGCTCATTGGGTTTTTTAAAAGAAGATTTTTTAAGTTTTTACTATACACATATAGTTAAAAACAATGACACCCCTGGGGCAGGGCCAGTTTTGACCCCCGGGCTTTTATTTGAACAAACTTTGTAGATATTTACTTAAAGATGTTTTATGCTTAATATCTAAACTCTAGCTATTTGGGTTTTTTTAAAGAAGATTTTTAAGTTTTTGCTATACACATATAAGGAAAATCAATGACCCCCGGGGCGGGCCAGTTTTGACCCCAGAGCTTTTATTTGAACATACTTGGTAGACACCCATTAGAACATGTTTCATGCTACATATCTTAGCTCTAGCTCTTTGGGTTCTTTAAAAGAAGATTTTTTAAGTTTTTACTATATGCATGTAGGGAAAATCAATGACCCCCTGGGGCGGGGCCAATTTTGACCCAAGGGCTTTTATTTCAACAAACTTGATAGACATTCACTAGAAGATGTTTCATGCCAAATATCTAAGCTCTAGCTCTTAAGGTTCTTTAAAAGAAGATTTTTTAAGTTTTTACTATATGCATATAGGGAAAATCAATGACCCCCTGGGGCGGGGCCAATTTTGACCCCAGGGTTTTTATTTGAACAAACTTGGTAGACATTCACTAGAAGATGTTTTATGCCAAATATCTAAGCTCTAGCTCTTACAATTTTTTAAAAGAAGATTTTTTAAGTTTTTACTATATGCATATAGGGAAAATCAATGACCCCCTGGGGCGGGGCCAATTTTGACCCCAGGGCTTTTATTTGAACAAACTTGGTAGACACTCACTAGAAGATGTTTTATGCCAAATATCTAAGCTCTAGCTCTTACAATTTTTTAAAAGAAGATTTTTTAAGTTTTTACTATATGCATATAGGGAAAATCAATGACCCCCTGGGGCGGGGCCAATTTTTGACCCCAGGGCTTTTATTTGAACAAACTTGGTAGACACTCACTAGAAGATGTTTCATGCCAAATATCTTAGCTCTAGCTCTTTTGGTTCTTTAAAAGAAGATTTTTTAAGTTTTTACTATATGCATATAGGGAAAATCTATGACCCCCTGGGGCGGGGCCAATTTTGACCCCAGGGCTTTTATTTGAACAAACTTGGTAGACACTCATTAGAAGATGTTTCATGCCAAATATCTAAGCTCTAGCTCTTAGGGTTGTTTAAAAGAAGATATTTAAGATTTTTCTTTCGGTTGCCATGGCAACCAGAGTTCTGTATGGAATTAAATTCTTTGAACAATTTTTAAAGGTGACCACCAAAGGAACATTCCTGTGAAGTTTGGATGAAATTGGCTCAGTGGTTTATGAGGAGATGTCATTTAAAGCAAAAGTTTACGGACGACGGACGGACGCCGGACGAAAAGCGATCACAAAAGCTCACCCGTTCACTTTGTGACAGGTGAGCTAAAAATGTGATAAAATATTGTTTTTATTTATTACAGAATTTACAGCGCCAGTCAAGCTTGTTGTTTAAGATGTTGTCAAGTGTAAGAAGTAACAGTTCCAGTCCACATTTAGCACAGCTATTACTACGCCTCGATTTTAATAAATTCTTCTCCATATCTGGTGGCCAGTTAGGAAGGTAATTATGACCAAAATGTATTTCATATGTTATTCTTTCGAGTTTGTTCGAATATAAACCTGTCTGATTGGCTTACTCAAAGAAATGTTTGGTCTTGCAAATGTTGTATTCATAAATACGAGGTCATGTTTATCTCAATCTTATTAAAATCAGCTCCTAAATAAAGCTACACCTTAAGGATCTGACAGACACCAATTTGAGGTCACCATTTCTTGACCTTCAATAAGCCAATCAATGACTGCATTTGCCTTCTTGAAAGCAGATCAGTTTTATTTTTAACTAATGGAAAAATCAGGAACATGTAATTTTCAAGATTTTAAGTTACCTGTATTACATGTAGGACTAGTTATCAAAGGATCTTTAAGCCATTGTTTCCTTGATACACTGATTGCTCATTACTGTTTGGTTTCATGGAACGGAACCTAGAGAGTCTATGATATTATATACATGTATATCTACACAATCAAATTTAAAAACTAATATAAATGTTTTTCAGTTACTGAATGGAATATTGTAGACCTACAGAATGAAGGCTAAACTGTGATAAAAGTGCCATATTGAAGTGGAGAAATAGTGTATACATTCAATCAACAGAGAGAGAGAACATCTTGTACACATTACATATAGTGTTGTACACATTACATATAGTGTTGTACACATTACATATAGAGTTGTACACATTGCATATAGAGTTGTAAACATTACATATAGAGATTTAAGGAAAGCGAGGACCAATTGTCAGAAAAAGGATTAAATTAGCTAATAAATATGTGTTGCTATGTTACTATCACTTGTTATATTTATGCAATAGAATACATTTGTATTAATAAAATGCCTGATTTGAAGGGGGGAAAAAAAACTTTTCTGTAATACATGTATAAAGAAACTTGTTATGCAGTTGCAATTTTAACAAAATAGGCACTTGAATTGAAAGTTAATATTGTACTAGATCTGAGTTATTATTGTCTTTATTTTCTTACTGAATAAACTTTGAAAAGTACTTTTTTTGTGTTTTCTAAATTTATGTAGCAATCAGAAATAAGGTAAATGATTCTAAATATAGAAAGATTATTTAACTCTCAACCTGCTGAATTTCTTAATTGAATCCTGCTCAATTCTGGTGGCAAAGGTTATCAGCAACTTGGAAGAGACTCAACTGATGTTTTTTGACCTGACGGGAGGGAAAATATTTTTCTGAGATCTGTGTACAATTTGATGTAGGTCTGGATCTTGCGATTATTCCCTCATTCCATTTTTAAAGAATCGTCATTTTTGTTGGGGAAAAATGACTCGAAAATGAAAAGCATTGCAGCTTTTAACTCGAATCGGGCTAAAGATTTCACAGAATTCAATTTTTCAATTTTTCTTTTAATACATTTTACTATTATTAGTTGCAGATTTTTTCCATTTTAATGCTTCAACTGATCAATATAAGAATTACCAGTTTTAGACTTTTTTACCTCAGTTGGGCTCCTTTAACGGTAAATAGTCAGAAAGAAGGAATCCTGCTGTTAATATTGGCTTGTCTGCTCAGGGGTACCCAAGATTTTTCCTCCACTAGTAAAGCTGGAAAGTCAGTGTTAAAGTTTATGTGGTAGAAAAGGATTCAATTTTCAAACAAAATACAACAAAACCTGTTTATTTCAATATATATATTATTGTCGACAAATGACATTTGGCCCTACAGTTATACATGTACATTGTGCAGATTACATATACCTAGAGCTACCTAAAAGTGCAATAAGGACCAATGTATTTGAGACAAAGGATGTTATGTGACTAATTTATACAATGCCTTTCATTCATACATTTATGTTATAAACAAAATAAGAATGTTGCTTTACTACATTGTTAAAAGCTAACACACTGTAAAAAACCAAAAAAAAATGATCAAATTTACAGTGATTTTAATCTTAAAACAAGAGAAAATAGCATTTAATAACACATTACAGTAAGTAATTCTCAAATTGTATTTTTTTTTACCCTTGCAAGAGCAATGTTGTACAAAGTAAACTATCTAATTATATATAATACCAGCTTTTATGAGTTCTTTTTCATATATAAAACACAATAATGAAAAATAACAATGCAATAAGTACCCATTTATTGTTAACCTGAGTGAAGACTGCAAAATTAATGCTTTTCTAAGATTAATGAAAAATTCATGGTATGATGAAAAGTTTGATGAAAAGTTAAGGTTTTTATTTCATTCTGAGCCAGTGACTTTATTTATATACCAAATGTGATTTGTGTTGCATTTTAACCTACAAGACCTACATGTATATCTAAATATGGTCTGCATATTTAAAGCTTACACATTTTCATTAATATTTCATTAAGTTTGTTCTATAGAGGGAAAACATGCTTATTCAATTCTGTGTGAATCATTACGAAACAATTGTGACAAAATAAGATATAGATCCAATTGACATTTATAATGTAAATAGATACTTGCTACATCAAGGTTTTAAACATTACTGTTGTTGCTAAATGGACTTAAAGCAGCCTTCAGCTCTTATTTTTTGTTGGAAAAAACAATTCTGTGTTGTTTCAAACTTGGTAACTTTATCTTGGAAAAGCGCATCATATCACTGTTAAGCCGTCTTCAAAACAGCGTTTTAAGAGCTATTTATAGCGCATCAGTGACGTTTGTGTCTAATAAAAAGATCGAGAAACAAATTGTTTGCTTTACTTATTTACTTATAGAGAGTGGACCAGTAGATTTGAGATAATCGTGGGGTTTCCTTATTGTTTATTATTTTATCGACTGCAAATTTCATAAAAAAAATTTTGATTCAACAATTATATGAAACGATTTATGTAAAATATCATATTCAACCTTAAGAAAAGCTGTAGGTCACTTTAAAATGAATGTTACACTTATAATCGCATGAAGTTATTAACCCGTACTCATCATAGACAATGTATTTATAGCACGAACATCAAACATCTTTTTTTTTGTGAAAATAGTGGTAAACCTGCCCATACATAGAAAACACATAATTTAATAGCTAGCTCTAAATTTAATATCATCATAATTGTGATAGATCACTCATTGTTCCCATGTAACACATGTATCCCATATAACCAAAAAATAAATCTAACAAAATATATATAAATGTACTATTATTATTATTATTATAACTAACATGTAAAGCATAGTTATGAGTCTGAAAATTTTTATAAACAAATTCATATATATATTATATACATAATAATACAATACAATATTATAAGAGAAATATGTATATGGTTTTCTAGCACTTTCTGAATGACTCCTCATTTAAAAGTAACCTTCAAGAATCATCAATTATTGCATAAATTCTCACAAATGGCAAAATATATATAATTAACAATAATACGTCAACACAATGTGGCAAATTCATACAATCTGTTGATGGTTATATACCTGATGAGTTTGTTTTTTCACCACTTTTATAAGAGACACTTTTTCAAACATAATTAGGTTTTGATTGTATTTCAAATTGATTCACACTGACAAAAGTTTCATGGTTTAATTTATGAATTCTTTGGAGGCACTTTAATACACACCTGAAAAACAAACAAAATAGAATTTTTATGTGCTAATTAAGGTTAAAAAACACAACAATTAATGTCTTTAGCTATAAATACATAAGTTTATCAATTTGTGCAATAATAAAGTTACAATAATAATAGAATAAAAGTTAAGTTGTACCGTCTGGCTTGAACAGTTCAAAAGTCATGGAACTGATGCTAATTAGTAGATGGCACTGTATTTACACATAATCTTTATATGAGCTGCGTCACGACAAAACCAACATAATGGGTTTGCGACCAGCATGGATCCAGACCAGCCTGCGCATCCGCGCAGTCTGATCAGGATCCATGCTGTTCGCTTACAGACCATATATCAAGTAAAGAAACTGATAGTGAACAGCATGGATCCTGATCAGACTGCGCGGATGAGCAGGCTGGTCTGGATCCATGCTGGTCGCAAAACCATTTAGTTTTGTCATGACACAGCTCATATATATATCAATAACATTTAGTATTAGAAACAAACTCAAAAGTAATTAATGTTAAATTAAATCTGTATAAAATCATCCATCACAGACTCCTGTAGAGCATGCTCCAAATGAAAAGAAAGGGAACCAACTATAGGAAATGCTTCTGTATCAACACACTGAGATAAAACTAGAAATGAGGTCAAATGGTTCTTAATTCAAGTCGTCAGTATATTATCAATATTTCATATGTTATTATTATAGATTTGTTTGTTATACCCATCTGTAAAACTTACATGTTTAACTTCCGTATAGGCTTCAAGTCCATATTCTCCAAGTTCACGTCCATTACCAGACATGTTGAACCCTCCAAAAGGTGCGCAACTGTCAAACACATCGTAGCAATTCACCCTGAAATCAACAACGAATTGTAACTACCAGTACTCAGAAGAAAATACACAACACATATTACAATAATTAACCGAAAGACACCGACATAATGTTATAATTCAAATAGAAAATTAACAAAATACTAAAACAGTTTTCATAAAATTGAGAAAAATCTTTTCAATTTTTTAGAAAACAAGAGCTGTCAGTAGGACAGCACGCTCGACTATTCTAAGTGCTTGATAGTAAAAGAGCCTTGATAATGTTAAATTTTCTAAGTTCACCAAAGGGCTAATCTTTTTTTAAAAATTCATGTTATAGGCCTTAGAGAGAGTCTAATTATACAGTATTGGCTTGACTATTTGGAAGGTAATGTCATTATAAGGGTGTTTTATCGAGTATAATAATACTAATTACCTATGAATACATAAATTTGACAGAAAAGGTACAAAGGCTTGTTATTAAGATGTTTTATCAAGTAAATCACTGCTTTATTATTATGAATGCATAAAATTGTCCCAAAAAGGCACAAACCCTTCAGTAGTTATGGAGATAACAGCTTACAAGCAAAACTTTATCATGAATTTCTAAGTTGAAAAGGGGAAGAAAAATCAGCCTAAATGCAAGATAGAATTATGGATCTTTGTCAGTCACCTACAATTCTGACCCTAAATGCATATGTGAAGTTTTAAATAAATATCTTTAATTGTTATTGAGATATGTAAAACTTGCATGTAAACATTAACCAAGAGACTAAGTAGAAAAGGCGATATGAATCAGCCTTAATGCAAGATAGAGTTATGGAACTTGGTCAGTGACATACAATTATGACCCTCAAATTATGACCCTAAGTACATGTGTAAAGTTTCAAGTAAATATCTTTGAAGACCTTTAACCTTTAACCAAAATTTCTAAGTTTCATAGGGGCAAATAATTCTGCAAATATTGCAGACAGAGTTATGCAATTTTGCAAAATGATGTACATTGTTACTATAAAAAAGTGTTGTAAATTTCAATTGAATATCTCAAGCAATAATTGAGATATTTGACTTTACAAAAAATATTTAACCAAAATTTCTAAGTTTCAAAGGGGCATAATTCTGTCAATATTGTAGACAGAGTTATCCAACTTGTCAATCTGATGTACCTTGTTACTATAAATAAGTATTGTAAGTTTCAATTGAATATCTCAAGCAATAATTGAGATATTTGACTTAACAAAAAACTTTAACCAAAATTTCTAAGTTAAAAAGGGGCATAATTCTGTCAATATTGTAGGTAGAGTTATCCAACTTGTCAATCTGATGTACCTTGTTACTATAAATAAGTATTGTAAGTTTCAATTGAATATCTCAAGCAATAATTGAGATATTTCACTTTACAAAAAACTTTAACCAACGCAGACGCCGACGCGGACGCTGACGCCGGGGCGACTACAATAGCTCTCATATTCTTCGAATAGTCGAGCTAAAAATAAAACATTTTAAAAATCTATCTTGATGATCACATCACTTCATGATAGTTCACTGATAGCTGATGATACACTGAAACTGGGGGATATACTCAATGTATCATAATTCTCTTTATATTATTAAGATATACAATTTAGATACTAATTCCCAGTGCATTGTGGTATATTATTGCACAATATGGACAAAGATACCGGTAAGCAGCAAGGCCCACCCTGTACTTTACCACAACACACTCAAAATGAAAATCTATTTCCATTCTAACACATAAAAGTGATGAAAGGGAAAGACACATTGTTGAACTAATAGGTTATTCCAATCTGCTAAATAAACAACAAAAAATTGTATATAAATTTCCCGTATGAAAATAAAACATTTTAAATTTGATGATTTGTAATCAGTAAGTACATGTAGTTGTAAATTTGATGAGGGAACTTCAGATATCTTTGATCCCTGACAAAGCATGCACATAAATATAAATGTATGTAGCTCAAGGAATGAACACGAATGACGATGGGTGTTGTGGGAAAATAATGCAAGCTTCCAGCCTACTTTGATTTATATAGAAAATCTCTGATAGTATTAGAATATACTGGTAATAATACTGGCTTGCCATATTCAAGCCTAAAGAGCAGGCAAGCTCAGTACTAGTAAAATAAGCCATTATTTCTGCTTTAATTTAGAGTTATCGCTTACCATACAGTTCCGGCTCGGACACTGTTGGCCACGTTTAAGGCTGTGCTTAGGTCATTTGTTACCACGGCTGCTGCGAGACCATATCTGTTGATGTTGCTACGTTCTATTACCTCGTCAATTGTCTTGAACTTCATCAATTGTTGAACTGGGCCGAAAATCTACAACATCACATAAACATGATAAATGTGTAGTACAGGACTTTCCTTTTTATCTGAGGCAACAGATGTGCCAACAATGTGACACTCTATTTAAAGAAATGAGCGTAAGCAATACATTTTAAACAATTTTTAAAGAAAATGAAATATTTTTTTGTTCCATAGTAAAATTTAAAGTTGAACACAGTTATGGCAATATGTCAAGTTCTTTTTATTTCTACCAGTTGACTTTTTTTACTTTGGATGGGCATAATGTCACTTTAAACAAGAGCTGTCCGTAAGACAGCGCGCTCGACTTTTTTATTGCTTGCCAATAAAAAAAGTTTTTGCAGTAAAAGGCAATACAAGAATCTCTGTATTTTTAAAGTGAACAATGGCCATGAGCATTAAGATATTTAGTGAAGAATTATTTTACTGAATTGTGTGATACCCTTGAACACTGCAGCAAAGTTTGAAATGTTTAAGTCAAAACATTGACAGTTAAGGGCCATAATTCAAATAAAATCTTTGACAGAATTACCTTCTCCTGGACATGTTTGGGAATCATGATTGTAAACAAGTATTCCAACTTTCAAATTAATATCTCAAACAGTTCAGTCAAAAAGTGGACTGGTACTAAAAACTTAACCAAGATTCTAAGTCGATAAAAGGCCTTAATTTTTAAAACAAATCCTTGACAGAGTTACCTTCTCTTGCGTACAGATGGGGGTAATGATGTGAAATAGCATTAAAAGTTTCAAA